GCAAAAGCTCTTTGTCGGCTTCAGGAAAGATTTTACTGGCCGAAAATGCGCCAAACAGCGAAACAGTACGTCTCTAGTTGCAACGAGTGCCAACGCCGCAAGAGCCCAACCAGTGTTCCTCCAGGGCGAATACATCATATTCCACCCCCTAGAACTCCATTCGAGCAAGTTGAGATTGACCTTCTAGGTCCCTTTCCGAGGTCTTCAAATGGCAATCTCTGAATAGTCGTATGTACCGATCACTTAACACGGTACTGCGAGACAGCTGCTATACCATCGGCAACTGCAGCTGACGTTTCTTTATTCATGCTGCATTTTGTGGTTTTACGACATGGACCTCTTAAAATTGTTATCCGTGATCGTGGGCGACAATTCACTGTAGATGTGGTGGAAGAGATGCTTCGTTATGTGCTTCAAGCTTTCGGCACTCTACACCATTTTATCCCCAAACAAACGGCCTGATGAAACGAACTAACAGGACTCTCATGAACATGCTTTCTATGTATATCGCAGCAGATCACAAGAACTGAGACGGCGTGCTACCTTTCATCACTTACGCATTTAACACCGCACAGCATGAGACTACCAGCTACAGTCCGTTCTTTCTCCTGTATGCTCAGCCACATCCTCACACCGTGGATACAGTCTTCCCGTTTTTGGACCACCATGATTCCAGAATATCGAGATTGTCTGCCATGCAGAAGAAGCCAGACATCTTGCTTACCTGCGCACCCTCGCTTCGCAAGATTGCTCGAAAACACGTTTTGACCATCAACGTCGACACGTGACGTATAATCGCGGTGACCTCGTGTTGCTGTGGGCGCCAAATAGGAAACGTGGGTTGTGTGAAAAATTGCTGGCACACTATGCGGGACCTTATGTTGTTCTAGACCGCATAAGCGATATAACGTACCGAGTAGAACATCTTCATTCAAACGGCCGATGGTCTGCAAAGACTGAACTTGTTCATATAGCACGTTTGAAGCTCTATATTCACAGAGAGACTCTTTAACTCACCCGGTGGGCTTCATCTGCACGGAGGGAAATGTTACTGCATACGTGATTGGGATATGAGCCTCTGGGTAGCAGGAATGGAATGAAAAAAACTATTTCAGTCCTGCAGGACGCGCTTAGCGCGTAGCGGGCGTCTCCCACGTAGGGACCGACAGGGAGTACCTGGCAGCCGCTTCGTGAGCCTGCTGGACAGCCCATAGCTGGTCGGCGAGAAGTGCATCCCGATTGGTGCATCCAGTAATTGGTGCATCCCGATTGGTATCTAACCCAGCAAGATGCTGTTGCTCTGTGGCGGTGCGGTCGATAAGTGCACGCACTGTATCATGGGCGATCTTGTTGAGGTTGGATAGGGCACCCGGCACCTGGCTGAGATGGGTGGGGAACCAGATGACAGTACGGTGCTTCAGGGCACTCGGGTCTGCTTTGCGCAGGATACCTAGTGCCTGGTCGGAGATGACTCCGCGTTTGAAGGCTTTGATGGCCGGCCTGGAGTCGCTGTCGATGAATTGCCGTTTGCTGTCGAGCATAGCTATAGCTATAGCTATTTTCTCTGATACTTCGGGGTTTCGGGTGAGGATTGTGGCAGAGTTAAGAGTCTGCTGCGCGGATGATACCGCGACCGCGGCGAAGGCTCGGTTGTTGTGATAGGCAGCGGCGTCCACGAACGAGACGTTGTCCGCTTCCATGTGTATGCTCTTGAGAATGCCGGTCGCCCGCGCAAGGCGCCTGCCTCTGTTGTATTCAGTGTGTACATTTTGTGGAATGGGAGCGATCGTGATAAGGTCGTGGATTTCACGGGGAATTAGGGTCAACTCTGAGGGGTCCTTTGACCTTGAGGAGAAAAAGCCGAGCTTGCGCAGAATATGGCGGCCCGCCTTGGTGGTGGTGAGTCGGGTCAATTGCACGCGTTCCTGAGCTTCGGCGATCTCTTATAGCGTGTTATGTACGCCAAGCTCGAGGAGTTTGTACGTTGGATTGGTGATAGGGAGGCCAAGGGCTCGTTTGACCACCTTGCGAATAAGTGCATTGAGTTGATCGCGCTCAGCACGTAGCCATTTGTGTATGGCGGCAACATAGGTAAAATGGCACAAAACAAACGCGTGTACGAGACGCAGCATGTTGTCTTCTTTGAGGCCATGATGCCTGTTGGCTACTCTACGTACTAGTCGTATGGCATTCTCAGTCTTAGTCCTGAGCTTGTGTACTGTTTGGGTGTTGGTTCTGCGGGACTCGATGATCATGCCGAGGACCTTGATGGTGTCTACCCTGGGTACAGTACGACCATCTCTGGTGTGGAGGGTGATATTGTGTTCCACTGGAGGTTTCCACCCTTTGGGCTTGACACCCCGGCGCTTGGGCAAATATATCAACAGTTTCGACTTCGCAGGTGAGCACCTGAGACCGGTGTGGTCGAGGTAGGACTCGGCGGTGTTGATAGCCTCTTGCAAAGCAGACTCAATGAAGCCATCCGACCCTGTGGAGCACCATATGGTTACATCATCCGCATAAATAGTGTGATTTAGCCCGTCGATTTTCGAAAGTCGTTCAGAAAGCCCGATCATCACAAGGTTGAAGAGTGCGGGCGAGAGGACGGATCAGAGAACAGGCAGAATTGAGAAGAGGACGTTCGGCTAGCGAGATAGGCCTCCGGTGCACGACACCTTCAAGTCTACCGGTACGCCACAGCGTAATGAACACATTTCTAAACGTAACAATATGTATGCCATCTGTAAAATATCAACAGCCAATACAACTTGGAAGGTCTTTTCCTTGAATTTTGAAGTTTGTGTGCATGATCCAGTACCTCACCGTATTGACACCCTCATAAGTGACCCCACTGTAACTTCTCTACTTCCCTTATGCCTCCACGCTGCAATCAATAAAAGTTAAATGATAATGTCATAACAGCCTTTTTCTTTTGCTACATTTTACTACTCGGCAGCTGCTTGTGAGTCTGTGGCTGTGGCGCATGTGTTGAATGTTTTAAGTTAGGACGACTACTGTGGCCCCGTTTTCTGTTTAAAAAGACTTCTTGATGCAGACCGTGCAGAAGCACGTCACGGTTAGGTGTGCATCAGTGATGTGGTTGTGCATTGCACTCGCTGGGTGGTGATAGTTGCACTCAGTGGCTTGTCGTCTTTGGAGCTCTTTCATACTGAAATTGACACGAGGAGCCTGTAATTAATTATCTGTCATGCAGTGCAGCAAACGATGTGCCATGTCATGAAAAGCAGGCTCCCAGCAGCACATAGCAGCGAAAAAATGGGAAGGAAAAACTTTTGTGTCATTACCCCTTTAATCTCTCTACTATTATAGACCGAGTCACTATAATGAGGGGATACAGGTAGTAGAAGAGTCAAATGACAGTGAAAATACTAATTAGCAGTTGTAACGACAGGGGTGGTTAGTCACGTTTGCCTGTGCGTGGTCAACGAAATGAACAATATGAGATGACGCAGGAGTAGATCTCAAACAACATTTAGAACAACAAGAGACTCGATTGACTATCACAAACACAAGCACAGAAATACACACTTAAACTACCTAAAGTTCGAGTGGCTACTGTCCGATCTATGTGACTACGCGATTGCTCAAGGTTTCTTGAACTAGCGTCCCGAGGAGGCGACAGTTCGCGCACGGCGATGACTCTTGTCCGCAACGAGCTCGAGCACGCAGGTGGCACACAGGTGGTAGACAAGGCCTCCGTCAGGCGTGACGTTTATAGACGGCTTTCAGCCGTCTCAGGTGGCGGTGGCGATCAGGAACCCGTCGTCCTTGTCTCGCATGCCAACGTAGCAGGAGCCACGCCCGGTGTCCGTAGCCCCAAACAGGTACCTCAGCTCCCGGACCCCGATCACCAGGAAAAGGACAGGAGGAGCTCTATGGACAGCGCCCTGGTCCGGCGCGTCCTTCGGCTAGGTCTTGCTCGGCTCTTTGCACGTTCCCCCACGCGCTTCTCTTCTTTTTCGCTCTTGTGCCATTGCCACACGTGCCACCTGTCGCTGGCTTGTCTTCTTGTCAGCGTCATTCTCTTCTTCAGACGCCCGCACAAACATTTCCGAATTCCACTAAAGTTCACACGCACATGCATTTACGCTACACAAAGTTCGTCCATGCATTACAGCAGTAAAATTCTAATTGCAGTGTTATGGTATATTCACAGCTGTGTCATTGTTTGCTGTACCTAATCTGTTTGCATTCAAAGGCCAACCATGATGAGTGATGGCTACAGACCATGCTGCCTACAGCCATCCCTCATGCTGGTCGGATCTTGATAGTAGAGGCCATTAACTGCAGCAAAGAATGACACATGGGCAAATGTCCCATATGACAATTAGCATTTCACTGCCAATCAGTCCTGATGGCTATAGGCAGCAGAGTATATAATAGTTTCTTCTACATTGGTTGCAACTACTTCGCTAGATGTTCTCTAACCTGCCTTACAAATTTTTTGTAGTTCTGTATAATGCTTTTGCTTTACTGTTATTATTGTGCTTTTCTTTTTCATTCATCTTTTTTACTATGTACACCCCACCTCCTCTGCAATGTATTTATACCCTGAAGGTACTATAAATAAATAAATAAATTAATTAATTAATAATAGCCATCACTCTTCACCAGAAATGGCCCCAACAAAGTACTGTCCCCATTTCCTGCAGTCAATTGCACCAAAAGGGACGGCATAGCCCTAGCAGTGACAGCAAGTGAACAATCTCTAAAAGTTTTTAAGGACAGTAAAAAGTTCAATAATCTGGCAGTAAAAAGTACAAAGGCCAGTCGTACGAAAGTCAATACTAAATTCTGCTGTGCATAATTTATGGAGTGCAAATGCATAAAATAAATTAAAACCACCACACAAGAATGTGCTTTTTCCAAACAACTGTGCCACAACTAGAAAAAAATGGCACAATCCCGCATTACTTAGCAGTAACGTGTAGAAAACGCAGACAAAAGCCAGGGAGCTCTGCAGCAGCCTGCAATCTCACCTACGGGGCGTGTTATTCCCAGTACTCCCACCTCGGCTAACTTCTTGAACACCTTGTGGGCATCAAACACGCCTTCAGCCTCCCACTGGTCCACGTACGGGTTGATATCCTTGTCAATGACCTGCGTTGAGGGCACAGACGTGATGTCAAAGCATTAATTATAACTGGCACAGCAATTAAACATAAATCTTGAGAAAAAAGGATAGCACAGTGATTTAGTATGAAATAACTAATCAATATATCTCCTCAAGAAGAAACATTACCTTTTTAGGTCCTTACAAAACTACTTACACTTTAATTATCATGTCTCCTTTATTAAATAACTAAAAGGTTGCATAAGAATTAGGCATTTGACAATTTATCTGACACCTTCTGTTCCTTAATAAACACAGGGGCAATTAAATATGCTGAAACTTCAAACATGGCACTGTTTAAATGCATGCAACCAAGGACAAAATGCTGTATAATTCTACGAGCAAATATACCTTTTTGCAGAGTTAAATTGGTCAACAACTATGCAAACATCTTGAATATGGCCGTACACATTACCTTCACTTATGGTATTGACACCTGTCCAGTTTTAGACTGGCCCAGCTGCATTGGCTGTCACTGGCCGATTTCTTCATCATAATACCGCAATTATTTATTTTATGGGACATTTGAAAGTGTCGATTCGACAACTACAATAATAAATATTCATCTTCAACCACAAGAGCTCCTAAACTATTGGTCAGCCACTTTTTAAGATTCCTTCAAGTGTAGCAATCATTGGAATAGAACATGATGTTACGGGGAATAAAGTATACACAATGAATATACTGGCGAGCAAATGCTTACAGCGCTGCTGCAGTCCAAGCACGTTCCCCTCAGCACTTCATCGTCGTCATCCTCGGGCATCTACTTAGCCCGTGACATTACCCGCCGACGGCAGAAGCACCGTCCTGGCGCGATCGATTCTCGGGGCGTGAGTAGTATGGTTTAAGACGCGAGACGTGCACTATATCGGTCGGGACTGAAGCTGGTACTGACGTGATATGGAGTGGAGCTATCTCATAGGTCACGCTGGTGACCTTGCGTATGACGCGTAGGGGCCAACGTAACGGGACATCAGTCTTTCACAGAGACCAACACGACGTGATGGTTACCACAGCAAGACGAGCGACCCCGAGGAGTACTGTACGTCGCGGTGCCGGCGATCGTAAGCACTCTTTTGGTTAAGCTGCGAGGCACATAAACGATCCCGGGCGACTTGGCGGGTGATGTCAGCTCGGGCCAAGGCATCACGAGCATAAGCAGTCGATGAGGGGGCGTCAGATTGGAGCATGGTGTCTATGGACAAAGGCGGGTCATAACCAAACAGTAGGTAAACAGGTGAAAATCCAGCTGTATCATGACGTGAACTGTTGTATGCGAAGGTAACGAAAGGTAAGTGGATGTCCCAATCTTTGTGATCTTTGGAGACATACATCGCTAACATATTCGTCAGGGTACGGTTCAGGCGTTCCGTGAGGCCGTTAGTTTGTGGGTGGTATTCTGTAGTGAACTTGTGGTGGGTAGAGCAGGATCGCAGGAGCTTGTCGACTACTTTAGATAGAAAACAGCGGCCGCGGTCGGTGATCAACAGACGAGGAGCACCATGACGCAGAATGATGTCATAAAGAAGGAAATCGGCTACATCAGTAGCGCAGCTGGTGGGGAGGGCGCGTGTAACGGCATACCACGTTGCGTAGTCGCTAGCAATAGCAATCCACTTATTACCGGTGGCCGACACGGGAAAAGGTCCTAGAAAGTCGAGGCCGACTCGGAAGAATGGCTCATCTGGTACTTCAATGGGCTGGAGTGTACCAGCAGGTCCCAGAGCAGGTGTCTTGCGGTGCTGGCAGAGGTCGCATGCCGCAACGTACTGTCGCACAGAACGGTAGAGGCCAGGCCAAAAGAACCGGCGGCGACCGCGGTCATACGTGCATGACACCCCTAGGTGTCCAGCGGAGGGGGCATCATGAGCTGGGCCAAAACGTCTGAGCGAAGATGCTTAGGAACGAGTAAAAGCTCAGCACTATCTGGGCAGGCGTTGTAGCAGTGCAAGATGTCGTTGTGAAGAACGAACAGTTGTAAGAAGCGGTCAAGGTGGGGAGGGTGCAGACCATCGATAATAGCACGCAAAGAGGGGTGGCGGCGTTGTTCAGCAGCTATGTCGGTGAAGTCGGTAATTGAAAGAACAAGAGCCTCTTGTCCATCTTCCATGATGTCAGGGGGATCGACTGGGTAACGGGACAAGCAGTCGGCATCCTTGTGAAGTTGCCCGGATTTATAGGATACGGAAAAAGTGTACTCTTGTAAGCGCAGCGCCCAGCGACCAAAGCGTCCCGTAGGGTCCTTGAGTGAGGAGAGCCAGCAAAACGCATGGTGATCCGTAATAACTGAGAATGGTCAGCCATACAGGCATGGTCGGAATTTCGCAATGGCCCAGACGAGAGCTAAGCACTCGCGTTCTGTGATCGAATAATTTTGTTCCGAGCGCGACAACAGTCTGCTTGCGTACGCGACGACGCGGTGCATTCCTTGTTGCCGCTGCGCCAGCACTGCGCCTACGCCGTGGCCACTGGCGTCAGTATGAAGCTCCGTGTCGGCAGATGGGTCGAAGTGTGCTAGGATACTGGTGGATTGGTGAGAATGTCAACGAGCGACGAGAAGGCGTTTGCTAGCTGTTGGCCCCAGGTGAATGCGACATCCGTTTTGAGGAGGCAGGTTAGAGGACGGGCTACGTCAGCAAACTTGACAAAATGATGGAAATAGGAGCACAGTCCCAGAAAACTTCGGACGTCCTTGGCTGAGCGGGTGTGGGGAAGTCGCGAACTGCTTGGACTTTCGCAGGGTCTGGTTGAACGCCCGCAGCGTCAACAAGATGGCCGAGTACGCAGATTTGGCGTTGCCCAAAGAGACATTTGGACAAGTTAAGTTGCAGGTTGGCACGTCCGAAAACATCAAGCACCGTGGACAGACGGGTAAGATGGTCGTTGAAAGTAGTCGAAAAAACAATAACGTCGTCAAGATAGCAGAGGCAGATGGTCCACTTCATGCCCTGAAGGAGAGAGTCCATCATGCGCTCAAAAGTCGCGAGAGCTTTGCATAATCCAAAAGGCATCATCTTGAACTGATAAAGTCCATCAGGAGTCACGAAGGCCGTCTTCCCTCTGTCTTTGTCATCCACAGCGATCTTCCAGTAGCCTGAGCGAAGGTCTATTGAAGAGAAATATTTGGCACCGTGTAAGCAATCGAGTGCATCATCTATGCGCGGTAGGGAATAGACATCTTTCTTGGTAATATGGTTGAGATGGCGGTAATCAACACAGAATTTCCGGCTATTGTCCTTCTTTTTAAAAAGTACAACGGGTGAGGACCAGGAACTAGATGAGGGTTCGATTATGCCCTTACAAAGCATTTTATCGACTTCTCGCTGTATAATAGCACGCTCCGGGGCTGACACACGGTAGGGCCGTCGGCGAATGGGTCGAGCATCAGCAGTAACGATGCGATGGGTTACCACGGATGTCTGGCCTAAATTATGGTCGCTGAAGACAAAGATGTCCTGATAAGAAGCACATGGCAGAGAGCAGAGACTTGTTCAGAGGTGAGCTTGTCCGATAGCATTGGCTTAAAAAGGTGCGAACAGGAACGTGACGAGAGCGACGTTGATGAAAAATAGGGTGGCGAATCGGTGGTTAGGGCGGAAACTGTGTGGTCGACCAGTGGTGTCAGATGCGCAAGTGACATGCCACGAGGAATAACTTGCGCTGAGAAGCTAAAATTGAGGACGGGAAATGAAGTTCGGTTGTCCTTAATGGTAACCACCGTGTTGGGGAGTGCAACATTACGTGTCATGGCCACGTCAGAAATTGGGGCAGGGACATAATCACCATCGGGTACTAGAGGATATGGCGAGAGTTGGACTTGGACTGTGGCTTGTGGCAGAAGTCTGAGGAAATCGACAGAGCGTAGATGAGGTGGGCTGGCAGAGACGGTCTCTGAGAAGGATGATAGTTCGAGCCGAAGAAGACCTTTGGAACAGTCAATAAGCGCAGCGTGTGAAGTCGGAAAGTCAAGTCCAAGGATGAGGTCATGAGGGCAATTTTCCAGTACAGCAAACAGAACTGAAGTTTGATGCTCAAAAATTGTTAATCGCGCAGTGCACATTCCAAGGACAGCCGGAGTACTCCCGTCCACTGTACGAACGGTAGGTGCAATCGCAGGCGTCAGAACTTTTTGGAGGCGGCGGCGGAAATCTGAGCTCATCACAGATATTTGTGCAACGGTATCAATAAGAGCAGTTACAGGTAAACCATCAACGAGAATTGTAAGAAGCTTGCACTGCTGGTCGGGAGTAATCAGAGGATTAGCAGTCCGAGTCGTGTATGCAGCATCACTTCCAGAGGCTGCACCGGCTAGTTTTCCGAGCGACTGTCGTAGGGAGACCGAGACCGGCAGGGTTGGGGCGAGCAGGACTGACGACGCACGGGCGATGGCGAGCGGCTGGTCCGATGGTCTGAATTATGCTCTGCACCTGTCTCAGCACGGCAGGACGGGGCAAAAGGTGCACGCTCAGAGCGAGGTCCCCAATCATAGAAGCTCGGTCGAGGTGATGAGGTCCAACGGCTGCGGCAATGGCGAGCGATGTGTCCTATTCGATGGCACGTGAAACATATGGGCCGATCATCATGAGTGCGCCATTCAGCTGGGTTTCGTCATGGCACGAACGTGCGGTTCAGAGTGGCAGCCGCAACGACTGGAGCCGAGCTGGAAGTAGCAGGGGCATTTTGATGAGGTGGCGAAATGCCCATATTCCCGATCTCTCCGCGAACCACGGCCTGTATCATTGAAACAGCATCGAGGTTGTGTCCTGGCGCACTGACGCTAGACATAGCGGGTGCCATAGCCTCGAGTTCCCGACGGACTATTCTGGTGACGTTTTCCGGCGCTGGTGGTTGATGTAGTGTGGGCAAATCTTCGCAAGAGGAGGTAGCCGCCGTATTGGAAAGGCGGTCAAATCGGTGAACTATGCGCCTACTTTTTGCCTGTTCGAAGCGGCGACATGCTTCGATGAGCGACTCCACCGTCGAGCAG